AGAATTAGGAGGAAGCATCAAAATGATAAAAGCATGACACAGGAACATAAGACTCATGAGGAAGCATCAAAGCGACAAAGTAACATAGACTTATTTCGTTTTAGTAAGAGTTTTACAGCACTTGCAAGACAATAAGGTCATGCAAGTGTCGAAGATTAGAGGTGTTACAAGAGAGTAAAAGACAAAAAAAAGAAGGAGGAGAGATAAGGACAATAGATGTTTGATAGGAAAGAAGGAAGCAAACCACACCAGAGCACCTGCCAACCACCCACAAACATGGACTTATGAGGAAGCATCAAAAGGACAAAGACATATGACACAGGAACATCACATGACATAAACGTAACACAGTTGAGCACACTTATATATAAACACTTCTGTGTGAAGGAAGTAAAGAAACATTACGGTAGTTACCTTAAATGTAGATTAACAATCATCTGGCCATACAGACTCAAAAACTCAAAAGAGAACAGTGGAGCGGGTAGCATGACAGTTCCAGTCAAATTTAAGAGATAAAACAAAACAAAGTAAAACCAACAGAAATGAGACTTTATGAGACTATAGAATATAAGTAGAAGAACAATTCAGTTTGAAATATTTTAACTTAGACTTTGTTAAACCAAAAGTTTCACAGCATCCTGGTAAGTGATATATAACTCAACCTTGCACTAACCTACGGTGGAAAACCTGACAGCCAGGGGTGTCCTTTTGCCGACATGCTCAAAGATCTTTGCTTTGCAGTATTTTGAAACATCATGGGTGACTTCGAAGTAACCAAAAGCACCTGAAATGAAATAACAAAACATTGAAGATATCAGCAAGTCAATATCAGATGAAACGACAAAGAAAAGATGACACACAGACAATCATTTCTTTCCTGTAACAACTGACAGATAATGATTCTACAATCTTAAAGATTCATTCTCTGCTGAACGAAGACACTCATTCTACACAAACACCATTGCCTTATCTTTGAGGGAGTTCAGTCTGAGTAAAGAGAAGTGAATCTACCTTTCCATAGCCTTTTGTGTTGTCCTTAATTTCTTTCTATTTCTAGTTACTGGCCAGGTTTGACACCCATAGTTTATCACTGGGACAAGGCACTGATTAAAGACATGCCCTTTTAATGTTACAACCATACAAGCATTTAATACAGCATCCTCCTTCTCTCTCTCCTGCTTTTCCACCAAAAATCAAAATCAAAACTTTGCTCCCAAAAATCAAACTTGACACTATATTTCTGGATTCCCCCTTGTCAAACTATTCTTAAAATGAAATCAGACATTCTTAGATGATAAAAAATATATAATCATTTACTGACTGCTCTACAAGACCACAGGCTAATTTTTATTTTATTTATTTATTTATTTGTTCATTTATTTATTTATTTATTCATTCATTTATTTATTTGTTCCTTTATTCATTTATTTATTCATTTATTGATTTGTTCATTTATTTACTTATTTATTCATTTACTTATTTACTTGTTCATTTATTCCTTTTATTATTCTTTTTTTTATCTATTTAGTTATTTATTTGTTGGGTTTTTTCGGAGGGGGGTGGGGGTACTCTTTCACTATATAAGTTATATATATGCAAGCCTAAAGCTCAGAAGAAAGCAAGACTTTCTAAGAAGATGAGAACAAATTTCGGCTAGCTCTACAAGACCAAAACTTGAGAAGGGTTGGGTGGAGGGAATCTTTTCATTACACAACCACAACAGTCAGGCCTTATGCAAGCCCAGAACTCTGAACAAACCCTTGACCCAGCTTGACCAGCTGACCAGACAGACCAGCCATGGCCGATCCAACATTCCATCTTCTCCCTGTACTGCCCCGCATAGTTATCAGAGAAAGGAAAGACTAGTGGCAGAGCTGAACTCTCAAGGTCACACCAAGATAGTTGCAATGTGTTATGGCCTGATAAGAATGATCCTTGTTAAAAACTACTGGCAGGAGAGGTGTACAGCGAAGTAGCAGGATGAGCCATATTTCACTTTTTAAAAAAGGTTTTGTTTTAGTAGAGGTTTTTCGGCACTCGCAACTGCATAAGGTCATATGATGTTTGTTTTAGTAGAGGTTTTACGGCGCTTGCAACTGCATAAGGTCATATGAGCGCCAGAAGATTAGAGATGTTACAAGAGAGTAACAAACAAACATAAAAAAGAAGGAGGGGAGATAAAGACGATAGATGTTTGATAGGAAAGAAGAAGCAAACCACACCAGAGCACCTAAAGAGAAGATGAGGCATGCCAACCCATAAAACCCTTAAACCATTCTGTCACAGGCTAATAATAATATACATTGAACAGATTAACAGGCCTGAGGCAGACACATTCAAATCAAACCTCCTCTAACTGCCACCTGTCCAGCGCAATCACCTGAAGAGACAACCATTCCCCCCCCCCCCTCCCCCCTTTCCATTTTGTTTCTATATTATAAATACACTGACCAAGACGTCCACCTGTCTAAGACAACCACTTTTTCTCCTTGACAATGGGTGGTCACCGTTGTCTTGGACAATTTCGACAGTATCCTGTATCTATCAATTAGAACAAAGTTTGACAACACAGCAACACACTGAACCAGGTTCAAGGACCTGCAAAAGTTGATAAGATAAGCCATTTGACGGTGGTACTTTTGACAAAACTGGTGTTAAAATACACAGGATAATCATGAAGCTGGCAGTCTTACAAAGCCGATAAAGAGATAAAGTAAATACATCGCTTTGGTGAAAGTCGAAACCCGTGAGCTATAATTAGACTGTTAAATTATTTTTCTTCCATGATAAAACTCTGTTACCTTTTTGATAGTTAACACAATCAAAATGCTTCAAAACTGTTGATCACTTAGTGCAAATCTTTAACCAATCTTACACAAGTAAAATTCAATTTAAATCAACAAGAGAATGTTCTCTGATAGGACACCCTGCCCTTACACAAGTGCACCGATATCTTAGAAACTACCCCATTAGAGGTTACAAAACAAATCCAGACCAGAAAATTGACCTCAGTCTTTATCATCCTGACAGAGAGAGAGAGAGAGAGAGAGAGAGAGAAAGAGAGAGAGAAAGAGAGAGAGAGAGAGAGAGAGGTAGAGAGGTAGAGAGGTAGAGAGAGGGAGAGAGAGAGAGAGAGAGAGAGAGAGAGACAAGAGACAGAGACAGAGAGATAGAAAGCCCACTTCAGCACTTTAACCGGGTCACAGGTTACAACCACTATAGACCCACCATGTCATCATTAGCTAAATATATTCCTCAAGGTCTCCATCCGCTACAGCTAAACCAACCTACAGCAAGCAAATCTAGAACGTTCTCTCTTTACAAATGCGTAGGTCTACGTGTGACCTGATATGCCAGTCTTTGTACTAACCCCACCACCATTCTCTTCCTTTCTCTCCATGTAAGAACACATTGACCTACCTCTTTGTCAGTCAATCTGCGTGTCATTTTAGTGAAAAAGTACAACCATCAGGCGCGCTCCCAGACTATGGCCTGATTCATGCTTTTCCTGTATTAACGACTGGCCACAATATAACTTTTGGCGCAATATACAATCAGCGTAGAAGTGTCCTATAATTTTTTTAAATCAAGGACTTCCGATCTTTTAGAAACCTCATTATTCACTGTTCCATCTTATGAAATACACATTCTTATCATTTATAAAGGGAGAAAAAGCACAGACAAAGACACCCGTGTGCAGAGAGAACAACTGATTTTGAGTTTTGATCATTTCTATATTACTTGCAATAGGGCTGAGAGAACCCTTGAAATATTTGAGGCTTGGAGTTTAGTTTTAGTTTTAGTAAGGTTTTTCTGCGCTCGCAACTGCATGAGGTCATATGAGCGCCAAGGAGTGAATGTCAACAGAAGTCTACAGGTGGAAAGAGGCTTTCTCTGCTCACCTCTCTAGCCTCAACGGCACAAGGTCTGCTTCGACTACCATGGCACCCCGGAAATAGCAGTTCACAAGAGAGTGACAAACATACAAAAGAAGTAGAGGGAAAATGACGATAGTAGCGAAGAGTAAAGAAAAAGCAGCAGTTCCCCCATTTTGTTCCGGCACAGTATGAGCATGACATTGATAAATCAGCCTATTTACAATTCTACTGTGCATAAGATGGCAAATATGGTAAAATAGTTTCAGAATCTCAGTGAAGAAAACATTTAAAAATCAATATGTTTACACATCAGCATTACAAAATCACAGTCCAATATCAGTGTACTATGTGTCTCAGTCTGATGTAACAACTTTGACAGTACAGAAATCAATGGCATGAATTATTAAATAGACTCGTGAGTTAGGTATACCACACCTATTATTATACAGTATCACAACAATAGTAACATAGCACTACATTACTTAATGCCTGGAAAGATTGTAACAAAACACCACATAACAGTCGAACCTGCTCCACCAACCACCTGCACAAGACAATCATCTCTACAAATGACCACTTCCCACCTCCCCCTTTGCATTTTTTTTCTTCTATATAAAGACATTGCCCACAAGGACCACCTAACTAGGATGACCTCTTTTCTCCTTCACAATGGGTGGTCGTCTTAGACAGGTTTCACTGTATATATATATATGTGTCATAACGCGTTGCAATCAGGTGCTCTTAAAGTTTTTGGGCATGTGCAGTTTATTGGTATAATCTAACAACTTATTCATTAGTCTTGTTTTCAATGAAAAAAATACCCACATATATATGTTGAATAAAAGTCAAGACATTTGCGACTGAATGAGGTGGGTGTCACCTGATTCTTGAGGTAAAAATTGGCAAGACAATGGCCCCCCAAAGTTTGATGACTTCCGTAGCTTGAGAGTTCTTGGAAACTGAAAATTTACACTTTTTTAAATCTTTTAATCAGCATTTTTCAGTAAAATCCACATAGAAACATGTTTTTAAACAAACGTAAAAGGTATTGAGCCAAAAATCCTTCGAAAAAAAATTCCCAAACTGGCAGAAAACATTGGTTTCTTCGATTTCATTATTTTGACAAGCACCTGATTCCACCCACCTCTTTTCCTCATATTCTTCAATTAACTGACCATTCTTATCATAAGCAGTTTTGGCAACCCACTCAATTTAAGTATAGGCCTATATGAAATCAATGATGGTTGTGGACTAAACCAGGACAGAGCTTTCATAAAAAACATGTATGGTCCCCCCCACCTCATAAAAAAAAAACCCATAAAAAGCACAATATTGCCACATACATTATACTTAGTTTAGATCTACGGTGACCACAATCAAATACAGGTATAATTGAATAGCGGTATGCTTATCTCATTGGCCTTTAGAATAATGAGTCAATTGCTTCTGCTTCCTCCCCCCCCCCCCCCCTCAAAACAAAAAAGATAAGAAATAACTTATATGATCTGCTGATGGCAACTAAATTAGAATGGATGAATACATGGAAATATTTTCAGGGGAGAGGACAAAACTTATAGCGTCAAAGTTGCTTAGTTTTAGTAAGAGTTTTACGGCACTTGCAACACAATAAGGTTATATAAGTGCCGAAGATTAGAAGCGTTACAAGAGAGTAACAAACACAAAAAAGAAGGAGGAGAGATCAGGATGATAGATGTTTTATAGGAAAGAAGGAGCAAACCACACCAGAGCACCCGCCAACCACCCACAACATAAAAGTTGATGACATGTATGTGCGGAACAAGCCAAGGAGCATAAAGATTATAATCAAGTTATATGTGTGGGTTTTTTAAAACCATACCAGAGCCTTTAGCATGGACGACTCTTTCAGGAATCCGCTCCCGGTTGAAATGAGCCATTTCATCTGTGAAGACAAAATCCTGGAGCAGGATTGGTCCACGGGGACCCACAGTCAGGGTGGCGGTCTTGTTTCCCACTGGGGCCCCGGTACCTGTGGTCATGCCATCAGCGCCCTGAAAACATAAAGGGTGATAAGTAGTGGTTTTGTGAGCACTCGAAAATTATTCCTTATCCGCGAGCAAAGATGGTGTGTTCAAAATACATATATAAATATAATATACGGGATTCAAGAACCTCTTAACATAGCAACCACGATATGGGGCAGTCCGCACTTTTAATTTAAGGCACCATTATTGAAGGAAACGACTGGGTTGTGAAAGGTAAGCTTTGAATACAGGTGGCCGTCTTTGAAAGGACTAATGAAAATAAAGAAAGCAAACATTCCCTTTTCAAATCCCAACTGGCGGATGGTAAAAGCTTAGGACTGCCGTTAGGCAAGGGGCGGGGAAGGGGGGGGGGGGTTTAAAGGGAAGGGGATTGTTGTTTTTTCAAACATTCCCTTCTGATTTCCCAACTGGGGTTGATTGCAGGCTCAGGACATGGGTTACATTTCTACATTGATGCCGTCGCTGTCATCAGCAGCTGGATTCATCTGAATGTGTGGAACATTCTTGTTTACACAGAAAGACGATGAGGATATCTTGCGACGGCTGCAGATCTATAAAGTGTTAAATTCTACAAAAAGCGTTTCAAAAGAGGAAGACAAGTATGCAAGGGTGAAACATTACGAAAAGTTTCAGAACAAACCAGGATGGCCGAGTGCCAAGGTAAATAAACAAATGGGTTGCCACTACTTGGAGAACAAGCAACCCTTGTGTTGCAAATTCATGTAGACATCCATTGATAATGTATTTGTGAAGCAGTGACTGGTCATCTCACTTACGATTTGTGTACGAATTATGGGCAGGGCTTAAAAGTTATATGGGATCACACGCTTCCCTCACCAGCAGCTGAAAATGTACTGTTACCGATTGGTCAATAGTGAGAGGGACCGATGGAGCAAGACCGATTCATTCACTGAGGGGAAGTCTAACAATATTGACAAAGTGTCGGGCAATGAGAGAATTTGGTGGCCATCCTACGCAGGTAATTTTGGCTGATCGTCGTGAAAATAAGGTGGCCGCCGTCGTGTTGCAACAGAGAGGTGCCCGTTTCACAGAGTTAAATTACATAGAAAAAACGCAGGGGAGGAAATGGAAAGTGAAGGTACACATACAAGTGGCCGTCATCGCAGGTTCGACTGTACTATAGTTAATTTAGACGACAGTGGTTAATTTTCTTTGGGAGACATCAAGAGGATCAACTTCTGTAATGAGCGACCACCAGACCAAACAAACACAAGAAGTAACCTAACCCTGACCCTAGCCCTAACCCAAACCCTAACTTTAACCCTAGCTTTAGTCTTGCCTTAACCCTCTATCTATTTATAGTGGTCGCTCATAAAGGATGAATTCCACCCCATCGAGATGCAGATTTCAAATTCAAAGATTCTCAACAGTGGTGTATACAAGACCTTTTCAGCCCTCATTCATCAATGAGTTTCTAAGGTTAACTGACACTGCAAACTGACGTGTATATAAGATTATTTCAAAGGAGATGAAACATTTGGCACAGCAGCAGCTAGTGTGCGACACATGCAGCTGAACCTAAAACGACGCACTTACCAGATTGGCGGCTAATTTTAGTAATGTGATGTCATCACATCCTGGGATACCCACAGACTATTTTTTAAGGCCTTGGATCAAAGATAGTGTAGTAGAGAATCTTCGGAGATACCTCATGGAACGACATGTTGGGTCTGATGTATTATTATTATCCGTATCAATGTGTTTCACACGATAGGATTTCACACTTGCGGCTAACTAGGCTAGCTGTACTTAGATCTAGATCTAGGTTTGGCCATATAGACTCAAACCTGTTGAGTACACAGGTAGGTCTCATTAAATCCAGATCTAAGTACAGCTAGAGATCTAAGTATAAATACAGTTTTAAGTACGGAGCATAGACTATCAGCCACTTCGTTATAATCATACTTCAAAGAGACAACGCTTTCTATAGTAGTGTCAACATTTACAGCAATATTTAAGACTGACACAACTAAAACAGTCATCTCTGAATCTGAAGAGGGGAGAAGGCCGAAATGGGGGGCGAAAAGGGGGATTGTAGGACAGCAGTAGGAGTCTTCAGTAGAGTAGAGCAGCGAACCAATCTCGGAGTCTGAACTGTCGGGCCTAGAACTTAGATTAGTCTACCGATCCGCCTAAACAATGCGGTTAGAATGTATAACTAAACATGTAGTATCATAGATCTAATATCCAATTAAAAAGATGCATTATTAGTTCATCAATTTTATTCGACGGTCTGTCTGGACCAGACCAAAATATCAGCATTGGAGTTGGAGATATGCTTACCAGCTGAGATTTCTTGAACTCATTCAGTTGATTTGCGGCTTTGTCCCTGTTGTTTGCCATGATGAATACGTAAGTCTTGCTCCCGATGTGAAGAAAATATACACAAATCGCTGGGAATCAATGAAAGACGGTTTGCAGAATGTCACGTAAATACCCCTCGAGGTAAACTTGTTATGAAACCACCGGGACAGCAGACAGTGCTCTCAGCACTCGGACCAGGCTTGGTTGTTGCTGTTGGAGTCAAAGTTCAAGTTACACAAAATGGGTTATTGGCCTTGAAAATTCTGAAATGAAAACGAGATTTGAGGACAGAGGTCGTAGGTCAGGTGTAGTATCAGGTATCAGTCGAAAAAGGACTCCGGGCTTCAGAGGCCAGGTGAAACTGGCAGAATATTGTGCAGTATAAGTTATGGTCGTCTTTTGTTTGTTTGTTTGTTTAGAAGAGGGTTTTACGGCGCTCGCAACTGCATAAGGTTATATGTCATATGAGCGCGCGGGACACACCTAATAATTTTTCGTTGGTAGTTGGTAGGAAATTTTGAATTTTGCCCGGGTGGCGGCCGAAGCCTACTCTTATCGATTTTAGACCACCAAGGGATCTTTAACGTGCGCAACTTGCACACGGGGCCTCCGAGATTTTTCGCCCTTGTCCGAGAAGGCTAGGTGTAGATCTTTCCTACCAGAAGATCAGGGGTGTGGCAGAAAGACAGCAGTTAGGAGGAGCCAAGGAGTAGCAGTAGAAAGGCTGCAGAAAGAGTCAGGAGCCCAGAGGAGGGGGCAAAGGAGGTGAGGGGATGGGGGCAGAAAGTGGAAATGAAAGCAGACAACAGAACATTGTTAGAGATCAGGAAAGGATGTGAAAGGAGAAAATTTTAGAGAAGAAAATTTGTTGGTCGCTACCCGGAATCGAACCCGGGACCTTTGAATGAGAGGCCAACACCTTAATGCCGCACAGTCAGCCGAGGAAGTCATGCTGTCTGGGAAAAGGTTAGAGGGAAACATAATTAAGAAAGACGTATCTCTTGATGATAATGCTTAAATGTATGTGGAAGGATTAGTGTCATCTAGGAAGTCCACACTCTCCACCGTAGGCCTATTCCTAAAAGGGTAGGACCCCCCCCCCCTAAAAAATGAATAAATAAATATGGCCCTATAATAAATAAATATTATAATAAATTAAATTAAAAGCAGATTCTGGGAGAGTGGCAATTCAAGAAAGATTGATCACACAAGAAGTGATGGGGCAGCGAGCCTAGCTTATAATAATAATAATAATAAGAAGAAGAAGAAGAAGAAGAAGAAGAAGAAGAAGAAGAAGAATTGCATTTATATAGGGCATATCCATGCTCAAGAGCATGCTCTATGTGCTTTACAACCCTTATTGCCCCAGCAGACCCTCTGAAACCACTCTGAAACATTCTCGGCTTCCGCGGAAGCGTACAGTACAAGCTGCGTATTTCACGCGCTCAAACACTATCAAACTGACAAGATCGTTCACTGTCTATAGCCGGGTACCCATTTCCACCTGGGTGAAGTGAGGAAAATTTGTGCAAAGTGCCTTTCCCAAGGACACAACGTACTCGGGCCCCTGACGGGATTCGAACCCACGACCTTACGGTTGAGAGTCCGAGAGCCTTATAACCACTAGGCCACCGATATATCTTCCTCAACAAAGGCAAATCCATACTGCTAAATGTTCTGCATCAGCCATGCTGCATATTGATGTCTATATAGTTGCTTCAGTCCTAATTTCTTTCCGCGGGAGCATCCTCGGGATTTTTTTAAAGGTGATCATTTCACCTTAATTTAAAATTACACTGCTTATGGTTTTCGTCAACTCAGTTTGATCACATTAAAATGCTTTTCAGGCTGAATAATCTTTGTGGAGGATATTTGCTTTTGCTATGTATGGCATTTGAAATTTGAACTTGCTATATGTGTTACATTTGGATTTGCTATTTGTACATTTGAATTTTTTACGCACAATTTATTGTGCACTAAAATTTCCTATTGTACATTTGAACTTTTTATGTGGCGTGAAACTTTCTATGTGGCATTTGGACTTGCTATGTGGCATTTGTATTTTGTATGTGTACATTTGAACTGAAAAAAACTATATTATGTTCGATAGTTGAGGAGATATTTTGACAATAAGTTGCGCCACGAATTTTTTATCGCACTTTTTTTTCCATCTACCAATAATATTAATAATTCACTGCAGCCTACTAAGATGTGCCCTAATATATATAGCCTATGTTATGACCTTACCTGCTCGATCCTTCACCTCACCTCCTAATGCACACGAGTATCTCAGATGCAGAACTTCTGATTTTACAACTAAAATATATCCGATAGGACCGAGCAAAGTGGGAGGATGGTTTTAAAGAAAACCAAGTTCAAGAAAGTTCAATGTTTGGGTGCTTGAACTTGAGTCACTGAGGGACCAGCCAAAAACCTAGTGCATCATCACTTGGGCTTTTGTGCTGAGCTAGGGAGCGGGAGAATCTCTCTACATGTGTGATGGCCCATGGTTGAAGAGAAAGTTTTATGTCCCTGTCCCTTGTGATACAGTTTAGATTGTTAGGACGTGTACCCCCCTCCCCCCCCCCTTCCGACCCCACCTCGCCCGTGAGTCGTGGAGGCCGACGCGAGTAACTTGGGATAATTAATGAAGGACATGTTTGATAAATTAATTAGCTATTAATATCTCCATCGTATGATAAATTGAACCCATGTCTTTTGTGTGCTAGGAAAAGAGCCTATCAGACCGTTGATGAAAATTTCAAAAGTAATAGAATACTACTCTACTCTCTACACGTATTTGTTTGTCATCTATTTATTTTTTGTTTGCTTTTATTTTAGTTTATTTTTTAGAGCACTTGAACAGATAGGTGACGGGGGAAGACCATATGACACAGTTTTTTGGGTTGTATAAGTGTTTTGAACTGGGATTTGTTTTTAGGAAGAGGCTAGCCGTACTTAATGACGGCTAGACTGGCAGTCTAGCCGTACTTATTCTTAATGTGATGGCTAGACTGACCATTTTTTAAAAATAGGCCTACTGAATTGTAAAAATTTTTAGTGTGCAGTACCTAAAGTATTTGTCTTTGAGACGAGACCAGGTGCCTTAATGACAGTGCATATATTTTAAAACTCCTGTTTTCTAATGTTAATAGGGCCTAAGATAAGTACAGCTTTTGTGCTGAGCTAGGGAGCGGGAGAATCTCTCTACATGTGTGATGTACTTAAGGACGGCTAGACTGTCAGGCTAGCCGTACTTAATATTGATGACTGAATTGTAAATGAAATTTTTAGTTTGCAATGCCTAAAGTATTTGTATTTCAGACAAAACCAAAAGGTGCCTTACTGACTTGCATGTATTTGAACCTGAATAATTACTAGATCCAGATCTAATGAGACCTGTGTACTTAACAGGCTTGAGTCGACAGGGCCAAACCTAGATCTAAGTACGGCTAGACTCTCAGTCTAGCCACTTCGTTGTTTTTAACATCCGAGCGGAGAAATGGGTAGCAAATAATCGCCGATGTCTGTTTCTGATCTGGTACTCCATGAGGAAGAAGACTACATGTACAAAGGCTGACGTTCAACCGCAGACACACATTCATAGGTCAGGTAGCAGAAGGTTACACAGGTGCTTGGCTCAATGGTAAAGGGGAAAGAAAAAAACGCAGAGACAAACCACTTAAGTAAATTCGGTTACACTTGTAATCTGAGCACAGATGTTCAAATTTGTTATTCTCCTTCTATTAGATGTACCACTGCTTTTAGTTTTAGTTTTAGTAAGGTTTTACGGACGCCAAGGGGCGGGTGTCAACAGAGAAGCCCAAACGGGGAATCATGCTTACTCTGCTCGCCTCAAAAGCACAAAATCTGCTTCGAGTATCAAGGCACCCCGGAAATAGCACTTGACAAGAGAGTGACAAACATACAAAAGACGTAGAAGAAAAATGACGATAGAAAGGATGAGGAAAGACAAAGCAGCAGTTCCCCCTATGTTGTTCCTGTACAGTATGAGCATGGCGTTGATAAATCAGCCCATTTACAAATATACAGTGCATAAGAACATGTTAACATTCCCCCTTTGGATATGGCCTAAAGACAACTTCAATCAGTAGCCCTGCCCTGGTGGGGGTGATGTACCGCCTCACCAAGTGGTGTGGAGTGAGGAGATCATGAGTACTAGAAGTGTATTCTCCTAGCACTCTCCCACTTTGAGAATAATGGACATCAGTACACAGAAACAAAGTGTAATTGTTCAGTAGAATACGAAATATTCCAGAATTTAGACACTATTCTCGTGTGCAAGTTACGCACGTTAGTTTTAGTTTAGTACAGGGTTTTACGGCGCTCGCAACTGCATAAGGTCATGTGAGCGCCAAGGGGTGGATGTCAACAGAGAAATCTTTACAGTACAGGGAATCAGACTTACTCTGCTCACCTCTCTAGCTTCAACAGCACAAAGTCTGCTTCCACTATCAAGGCACTCCGGAAATAACGGGTCACAAGAGTGTGACAAACATATAAAAGAAGTAGAGGAAAATGATGATAGTAGGCCTAAGGATTAGGAAAGAAAAAACAGCAGTTCCCTGTTGTAGTTCAGGCAGTTATGAGCATGACTTTGTTGGATCAGTCCATGTTCAATTCTACTGTGCATAAGAACGAGAAATGCCCCCCCCCCCTGGAAATGGCCTAAAGACAACTTCAATCAGTAGCCCTGCCCTGGTGGGGGTGATGTACCGCCTCACCAAGTGGTGTGGAGTGAGGAGATCATGAGTACTAGAAGTGTATTCTCCTAGCACTCTCCCACTTTGAGAATAATGGACATCAGTACACAGAAACAAAGTGTAATTGTTCAGTAGAATACGAAATATTCCAGAATTTAGACACTATTCTTGTGTGCAAGTTACGCACGTTAGTTTTAGTTTAGTAGAGGGTTTTACGGCGCTCGCAACTGCATAAGGTCATATGAACGTCAAGGGGTGGATGTCAACAGAGAAATCTTTACAGTACAGGGAATCAGACTTACTCTGCTCACCTCTCTAGCTTCAACAGCACAAAGTCTGCTTTGACTATCAAGGCACCCCGGAAATAGCGGGTCACAAGAGTGTGACAAACATACAAAAGAAGTTGAGAGGGGAAAATGACAATAGTAATAGTAAGGATTAGGAAAGAAAAAGCAGCAGTTCCCTGTTGTAGATCAGGCACAGTTAGGGGCGTGATATAATCAGCCCATTTACAAT